GTATAACTATTTATGACCTTTTGAGAGGTCATGCGGTGTCATATTTCATTATATTAATCAATTGTCTCGAAAAATGTAAACTATCCATACCTTTCGCCGAACATAACTTCGGCCCCTTTGAAGATATCGTTTTCGCTATAGTCTTATTCGAACCAGAATCTAAAACACTATTTAAAGTGTTATTTTCAAGCTTGTAGGATTAGTCTTTCGTCTTTTATTTCGGTATTTCAATCTGTTGTGATACTAGTGAAGTCAGCGGGATATTTTCGACCGGAAATACACTTTAGATTTGCGAAAACATCGCGTGTTTACATCCTAGCGCTCGGAAAACGTCGGCAATCGATTCTATAGGTCAAATTACATCTGCAGCATGATTTTCACGTGCATTGGGCTACGGGTTACTCCTTATTGGCCAATTTTACGTGCAGCACGCGCGTGCAAGTAAAAAACCCGATGAAACCCGATATTTTGAAAAATTCAAAATAAACATTTCTACTCGCCGTATTCAAACGAAACTTTCTACATAAAAGCGCTTGAATACAAGGAATATTTCACTCATATTAACTTGTGGCGAATTCTGAAGAGTTTAGATGCCTTTAGAAGATATTCAACTTTTTCTCCATATGAAAATACAGAATGTTTGGCCAAGCGGTGAGTAAATATACGATTGTTTCGGTTTGTGTATTTGTTTTGGCGGCATTGAACCCCCCGATGAAAAGGTTATTTTGTTAGGATTTCAATGGTGTTCTTTGTTTTAAAGGGGGGTGAATACGCGCTGAAATATTTACGTTATAAAACAATTGAATCAAAATGTCGCTTGTCGTGAAAAATGTAGCCGGTCGAGAAAGAGTTTTAAACATCATAAACCTCAATATTTACTGGTAATTGTCCACGTACTATGAAATTAATCTAAGAATAACGTTTACTTTGCTCTTCACGTTGCTCCCACACAGCATAATGTAATCAAATTTAATGTAACGTCAATTGTGTTACGAATTTTCGCTAAAAATTGTCTCGTGTAACATTGTATTAAGTGTTTGCCCGCAAGTACCCGGACGTTACCATAAGAAAAGTTTATTAAACTAACTGTTCCCAAAGTTGTACGCTTTAGTCATTGGAGCTCAAACGGGACGCATAAACTGCACATATTAGAGAAAAGCTGCACTGTATGAATACGCGAGTGAACAGAAATTTGACTTTGTATGGTTCCAAATTTATTTGATCCCAGTGTACCTCACGGTGTATATCCTCACTTCGTCTCTCCTTGGGAATTTCGAATTAGCTAAGTACTTTAGAAAGGCTATTAGGAAGCGAAACTGATTGCTAAAAAGTTGTTCTAGACTAAAAACATCTGCATCTTGGGAAAAATATAGAGTACAAAGAAATTATACCACAACATTAATAAGATCAAATAAGCACATTACTATGCAAATTTAAATAATAAGCTTCAGGAACCCGAGGTGAGCTCAAAAAAATGGTGGGGGATTTTTAAATCTTTATATGGGCAGAAAATGCGCGAAATGGTCCCAACACTCATGGAAGGTCCAAACATAGTCAGCGACGCTAAAGAGAAAGCTGAAGTACTGAATGATTATTTTTGTAGTCAGAGTACCATTGAAGATGGTGCTACGACTATTCCTAATGATATTATATCTTTCCAGTCTTCTGTCATTTTGTCAAACGTGATTGCTACTGAATGTGAAATAAATAGCCCCTTACGTGGAGTAGATATTAGTAAAGCCTGTGGTCCAGATGGGATAAGCAATAAAATTATTAAGATTTGTGCAGATGGTATAACCAGTGCTTTTACGTATTTTGTTAACCTTTCACTGTCGTCAAGAGTTTTCCCCAAGCAGTGGAAAGCAGCAAATGTTATTCCATTATTTAAAACTAAAGGCCCTGTCACACTATTGCGTACGAGAGAAACGTATGAGAAGCGTATGGAAATTAATGAATAATTTTCATACGAATCCTAACTACTAAGCTTTACCAATTACTACCAAGTAAGAACTTTTCAAATTATGATATAAGGAAGGAGAACATTTTTAACGTTTCTATTAGTAGGACGAATAGATTTAAAATTAGTTTTATACAGCATAATTCTACAATGTATTTTAGATAAAGTTAATATTTATATAAGGAAAGAGAACATTTTCAACGTTTCTATTAGTAGGACGAATAGATTTAAATTAGTTTTATACAACATAATTCTACAATGTATGTTAGATAAAGTAAATATTTATTGTAAAGTTGGAAGCGTAATTCAACCCGTGGGTTGTAATGTTTTTAATTAATTAATTAATTAATTAATTAAACTATCTATCTATCTATCATCTGGCGTATCTCTAGCGTATTCAGCGTGTGCCTAGAGTATGCTCATCGTATAAAGGATACGTCCGATACGCACAAAATTCTTGAGCATGTTTAAAAAAAATTCTGCCTCGCCGTATGCCAGCGTATGCCACCGTACACGACCGTGCTTGAAACGTATACAACCTATGCCTAACGTACTCCTAGCGTATGCCAGCGTATACCGGCGTACGAGTGATATTTTTCATAGCTGGCATACGCTAGTACGATACGCAATAGTGTGACAGGGCCTTAAAGTAGATCGTGAGTCAAAGTTGAATTATAGGCCGATTTCATTGTTAGATTCATTATCTAAAATAATTGAAAGAGTCGTTTTTACAAGACTTTATAATTTTTTGTTGAATATAAATTTTTTAAACCCAGTGCAATCAGGCTATCGGCTAGGTGATTCGACAGTAAATCAACTAGTATATTTAGTACATAAGATCCACGAGGTATTTGAGCAAGGAAAAGAAGTAAGAATGGTTTCCATTGACATTAGTAAAGCGTTTGACAGAGTTTGGCACAAGTGACTTTTACATGCACAAGCTTAAATTAATTGGTGTTTGGTGTCGGGGCCCTTTATTGAGTTGGTTTGAAGGTTATTTATCTAATCGGAAACCACGAATGGTCATAGATGGCCAGTATTCACAGTGGAAAAATATAAACGCAGGTGTGCCTCAGGGGTCCGTACTTGGCCCATTGCTTATTTGATTTACATAAACGATATCACCGAAAATCTTGAATCCTATCTTTATTATATGTTGACGACACTTCTTTGTATGATATTGTTGACAATCCAGACACGTCTTCAACAAATTTAAATAATGATCTTATAGAAAAAGAAAAATGGACAAAACGATGGCTTGCTAGGTACTATAAATACAAAGAAGACTGAACATGATTTTTCCAGTTAAAAGACTTAAACCACCTCATCCTGAAATTTATTTTGCATACGAGAAAATTTGTGAAGTCTTGCAACACACTCATATTGGCGTTAAACTCACATGCAGCAGACCTCTCTTGGAAAGCTCATATTGTAAATATTTTTGAAAATACTAATAAAAAGTTAAATATGTTAAAAGGCCTGAAAATTAAAGTAAGTAGAGACACTCTAGGAAAGCTATATAAATCACTTAATCGTCCTGTTATGGAGTATGCGGACGTATTGTGGGACAACGGCATAGCCAGTGATTTTGATCTACTTGACCTTGTGCACTATGAGGCAGCTAAGATTGTAACCGGGGCAATAAAAGGAACTAGTAAGCATCGTCTCATGCAATAAGTGGGATGGGAAAATATGTCTACTAGAAGAAAAATCCATAAGCTTATTTTATATTATAAGATCGTAAATAACTTGAGTCCAACTTATCTTAAAGAATTACTTCCTTTACAAGTCTAAGAAAGAACAAACTTTTCTTTAAGAGCGGTTTCGGACTTTTCTCTTTTTAATAGTCATACAGAACGTTATAAAGGATCCTTTTTCCCGTCTGCTGCGAGACTGTGGAATAGTACAAATATTAAGACGCGTTCGCTAGTTTCACTCAATTTTTTTAAATCGCTTTAGTTACCATTCTTGACTTACCTGTTCCAAATGTTATTTATAATTTATCTAATGATAAATTCTGCTTATCACATTCGCCTGCGCTTAGGTGCTTCTCCATTAAATTTTTATCTCTTTAAAATAGGATGTAAAGTATCCCCAGTTTGTATGTGTGGTTTTAACACTGAAACTATAAAACATTATCTTCTTCGTTGTCTAATTTTTGCTGCCCAAAGACAGAAACTGCTCTCTTCTGCTGCTCAGATGTTTGATGACGATTGGTCAAGAATGAACGACGCGCAAATTGTTCAAATATTTTTGCATGGATCATCTTCATTATCATTAGAATCAAACAGAGAGTTATTTTCTCTTGTTCAGTCATATATAAATGAAACAAAACATTTTCATTTGCACGATTCTTGACTTCCGTCGGTTCTTTTTCTCTTTATTATATACTGGCATATTATTTAAACATTTTGTAATTGTAAGAAGTGATCCCCCTAGATGAGCGTACGCCCTCTTGGGGCAAACTTTGTTTGTTTAACGAAATTAAAAATATGTTTAAATAAAAAAGGTACTTTAATAACAATGTAGATTGATCCTCATAGTAAACGAACTTGTTTTTTGAAGCAACAAGATTTTACCTTGAACGACAGCACTCTTCACTTGATAATTTCCAAGTTTTCGAGTTTTAACAATTTGTTCTCTTACAGTTTCTGCAACCACAATTTTCTTGTTGTTCTTATCTTTTCGATAAACAACCTTAAAATCCACTATAACGGACCCATTCCTATAAAAATGAACGACAGCTACAAAAGCTATTAAGAATGCTAAGAAGCAGCAGCTTAAAGATAATGGCCTCACTGCAACAAAATTTAATATCAGAAATCTGCTAGCTTCTAAGCCATCCAGAAACCTGAACATTGTCAATGGTGACGTAATATTTCGACTCCACAGTCTATTGTTTCCATCAGGGATATTTTAAAGTATTAGTTTTAATTCCCTTGTCGATCCCATCACATTGTTTGGAACATATTTTAACGATATAGCTAAATATATATGGTTCGTTGGATATGTTTTATCTTATAATCAGAGGCGTGGCCACAATTGGGAGGCGAGTAACGGGTCTGGACTCCTCCCTACATTTCTTCAGGACCAATTATTGGTATTTTTTCCAAAAGCGAGGAGAAACTGGGGGCGCGTAATATCGTAATGTTTGATCACTGACATAAAATATACCAAATATGTGGCTTTCAGATTAATATGAAACGTGTCTAAATGCACGAAATAGCGTTTTGCAGACCCTAACTAACAATAGAAAATTTCCGACTGGACAATTACACTCC